TTCACAACGGAGGAGTATAAACCTTCAGCATCGTCATCGTCGTCGTCATCAAATGCAAAAGCATAAGCATACATACTGGAGTCTGGATTGAAAAAAAATGTAGTAATGTTTAAAACATAAAACTTGAGCACCAGCCAAGAACAGACACAAAAGGTCTTGGATTTGTTAAAAGAGGATAGAGGGGAATGGATGGGGTAGAAGAGTAATTCCATCATGACCTTATACAATACTCCTAGAGAAATAATTCAATAGGGGTAGAAGAGTAATTCCTCCCTCGTTTCCTAAACAAATGCATGAACCCGTCCTGCCCACTTGGAAGGGAGGGAATCAGACATTTGTTCAAGAAATGAGAACAATTTACCATCATGTCCTTATACGATACGGAGTAGATAATAAATCAATAGGGGTAGGAGAGTAATTTCACCCCATTTTCGTAAACCGTAACCGTCCCTTTCCAAATCTTTATTCTTGTTAAAATTCCGCAAAATTATGACTTATCACAATATCACATCCGCGCACGGGTCAATGACAGCAGTCAATATCCAACTATGTACCTCGTTTGCAGTTCCCAAAACAGCCTTGACTGCTTCACCGCCTCAGCGCGTTCATAAACCAGCCTTTCTTTCCATGTCTTTCTAAAACTAAAAGCAAGGCAAAAAAGAGTGCACAATCTATCATCATCATCACCTAATTTTATTGGAAGACAAAATAGAGAAGGCCACGGAAGGAAATGCTCAACATTAATATATTCTTATGCATATACTCCCCACCCTCCGTCTCAAAAAACATTTCCTAGTTTTACTTTCACAGTGTTTAAGTGTTGAAAAATGAAAAGTGTGCAGTTGACATTTGTTTAGATGAGCAAGAAATCCCGGGACTCACATGTTGATATAAAGTGGGAAGTGTTTTTTTGGGTCATTCAATGAGGGAAACTGAAAAGAGTTTTTTTATTATAGAGCAAGTAATAATCATTTCAAAACTCACCTCCTCTTCAAAAGCAAATCTACTTCCATCATGTGCACTACATCGGTGTAAACGCCCACCTGAAATAGGTACAGCGAATAAAAAGTGCTGAAAATTAAAGGTAGTGAGATTGGAATTGTTCTATTATCAAATTTAAAGTACTAAAATGCAATTAAGAAGTGTAATATTTTGGAGGAAAAAGAAGTATTTTTGGTTATTTGGGAGTAGATTGCAGAGAAAGCAGGCAAAGATGGTTGACGATGACCAATAAGTTAGACAAAAAATGAGGTTCCCCCAGGGCACATCTCAGTTGGTATTTGGTAAAGACCCAAAGTGTTGTTATGACAGCCTTGCTTGCGGCCTGCAGTGTGGGGGTTCGATAACTTCGATTCTCGCTACATGGAAGAGTTTGGAATTGAATCCCTTGTATAGTGAGACAGGCCTTGGCAACATTGGGACATTGAGTAACTGAGACATATCATGCGATTTACCTCCTTCACCAACCCCGGGGCAAGGGTGTGAGGGTTCCACCTTTTTTTGACAAAAACATGAGGTGTTATAGAGAAGCAGATAGAAACTGGGTAGTTGTGACTATAAAGCTTGTTTATACGTATGTTTTTCAAGTCATATGACTTTATTTTGCCACATAAACTTTTTTTTTCATTTTTTTTTGGGGGGAGGGGGTGGGGTGGGGGGTTATGGCTAGAATGTCAAACTGGCCCTTATTATGCAATCTTGTAAAAAGGTCAACTTTCACACGAGGATACACTTGTAAAGTTAAAAGAGTAATTATTAAATCTTTATCTATAGAGGAACACTATATTAACACCACTCTCACACCATTTTATTAGTCATTAACGAGAGATGGTTAATGGGTAAAACAAAAAGTTAAGTGGCGTCAATATATCCTTCCTCTTATTTATATTGTGGAATATACACTAGGAGGAACACTCAAATAAAAGGGGTAGAGTGTCATGTGCAATAATATAACGAGAGCAAAAAATCTAAAAATGCAAGTGTTGTAATTATCAATAAGGTTATAAACATCGCCTAGTTTAAAATGACAATCGTTTTGGGTGTCAATACTCGCCCAATTGAGGCACCTACAATGATCCATTCGGAAAATTGATGGTTCCCCACCAACCCCTCATAACCCCCCCCCCACCCGGCTCGATCAGAATCCACCCCACCCAGCCCCTTCAATTGCACCCCCAAATTTAGTTGACTTTGGGGTGGGGTTACCAGGATTAGGAGGTAGGAATCATTAATTTTTTGAACGAAACAGCGTAGGAACGACAATTTGATTGAGTGCCATAATGCCACTGAGCCTTGGTGTCAATATAACCAAGGTGCATAAAGATAAAAGCTGCTTCATAAGCGCAAATAGTGAAATACCAAATATCCCTCCATCCTCATGTAATATTCCATGTTTATTTTGGCACATGGACCAAGAAGATTAAAAAGAAGAAGTGACCATTATGCCCTTACTTTTATAACTCCCTCTTTCCCGAATCAATCGTCTCACTTTTCTTTTCATCCCAAAAAATGCCACACTTCTTTACTTTTCCAATAAAGTAAATAATATGTGGTCCATTTTTTTCTTTTTTCTAAACAAATTTGAACCACTCACTCACTTTTTACTTTTCAACACATCTCTCAAACTCTATAAAATCAAACTGTGCCAATTAACTTGGGACGAAGGGAGTATTTGAGTTGGGGGGATTTGATTATAAAGTGATGGGAAATAAAAGTCAGTGTTTCTTTTTGTATTTTCTTTAAATGGAAAGTGGACAAATAGATTGCGACAATCCAAAAATGAATATTGAACAAATACACTAAGACGAAGAAAGTAGATATTAACCTGTCGACAAATGGGACATTTTGAGTCCTTGCTTGCAGCCTTTAGACCCTCACACATCATTACGGACGCTGCAGAGCACACACATGATTTACAGAACAGATGGCCACACCCTAAAGCTATAGGGTTGAATACAAAATCCTTTTTAAAAAGCAACACCAAATTAGTACTTGTAGAATGCTATCGTGAAGATCAGAGAGTTCCTTTTTTCTTTCTGGTGAACTAAATATATGACTCACCAGGCAAACAGCACATGTTAGGCTGTACTCTAATTTCACTGCATCTGGAAGTTTCAAAGTGAGTGAAAACTCCGAGGGGTCAAAATCGCAAGAGAAAGAGCTGAAGAGCTCTTTGGAGCTCCCATCATTTGAGGCATTGAAGTTCAAATAGAAAGCTCCTAACTCAATCAACCACGGTGATTGCAGAATCTCCAAGTGTTCATCTCTTATTGCAGATTTAAAATTTTTCCCCTTGACAGAGCCATGAATCTACAAGAAGATATTTTTTAAATAATCGTAGGATGGATAATAGGTGGGTAAATTCCCTAAAAAGTTCCCTAAAAGATGGTAAAAGTTAGGAAGTTTATATCTTATATGGTACCTAGTTTATACCAAGGTAAATTCACTAAAACACATTATAACTCAATTCTTGTACGATTTAAACTTTAAAATATAAATAAGCCTGAGATCATATAAACTTCGAGAATGAGTCACGAATCACAACCGTAAAACAAACAGATGCAATAAAATTAAGTCAAAATTTTGTGTGACCTGTTATATGTGAGTAAGTACTCTAAGAGTTGGAATATACACAAACAAAGCCAAGAAAAAAGCCTCACCTTGTCATACTTCTTGAGGATTTTGCGCATAGCAATAGCATTCATCGCTGCATATTGCATTAACATGTGACACTCTTGGACCATGGCCTGCTGATTATCAGTAAAACAGTGACGCAAAGATGTGAAACATCTTTGAACCCCTGGAGCCGTATGGAGCCTGAGAAGCCTTCTCACTCTAGAGCTAAAACACCCCGCGATGTTAGAAGCCTCTTTCTTCAGCTCAGGAAAGAACGTTTGATCACACACTAATAAAAAACAAGATATACAAAATGATCATTACTATGTCAATTTCATTTGTATATATTTGAGTTTAGTCAATTCAGTCCCTCAACAACATTACAAAAAATTTAAACATGCAGATTAAATCTATGACAACTTCTATGCTTGGGGGATTGGATTATAGAGTACGAAATTCACAACAAGGTGCCACATTACATAATCCGATGAAAACAACAATTTTCCCTTGAAAACCCTCAATCGTTGGAGGTCAATACCTTCGTGTTTAATTATCTGCAATGAACCCTCAGCTAACAAGAAACAAATACAAATGCAATTCCAGACACAACACATAACCATCATCATGGTACGGATCGTATGGGGGAAATAAATTGTTGGCTGGATGGGAAAAACACAGAAATTTGAAGAAAAATTTTGTCTTTGCACCAGAACTGGAGAAGATCTTCCACGAATATGCATGAATTCAAATAAAAATTACAGGAAAAAAAACCAGAAATCTCAATCAGGATTATTCAATGGAGATTGTAATAAACAAGAAATTAGAGAAGAGAAATCGAATCGAAGGGATCAAAGCGTACTGGAGCAGCATTCATCGGACCCCTTCAAGGTGTTGTTGCATGCGGAGCAACGTTTGAGAACCTTCTTGAGGCTTTTGTATTCGACATAGGACAGCTTGCTGCCTTCGTCCTCGTGAATGTACTCCGTAAATGTCTCCCCGAACTTCATCTCCGTCCTCTTCTCCGACCAATCCCAGAACGAATCCGATTCCTCCACGGACGTACGGCAGCTGACAAAGACACATACACCCTCCTATAATGCGATAATTATTTAAATTAGTGCCGCGTCGATCTGGTCGGTGTCGTGTATGTTTATATATATATATGCTCCCTCCGCCGCGCCGCGCCGCTGTTCCACCGCCTTTTGTGCGCCGGGCTTTAAAAATGTGGAATTGTGAATTTCCCGATTAAAAAAGGCAAAAGGAAAAACAACAGGTGGGACCCTCCCCCTGCGTCCAGCTTATACTTCCCCGTACGCAAACGAAGAATGTACGACTAAAGATACTCGGTATGTCATGCCTAAAAACATGTCATTTTCAAAAATAATTATTTTACCCCTGTGCATAATAGATCTTCTCGAACATTATTTATAAAATTAAATTTAATTCTATTAATTTTTTTATTGTTACTATTCATTTCATAAAATAATATAGTCTTGTTACCACTAGTTTTGTAGAATTTTTCATTTTTGTTTTAGTATATGAATTTTTTTTTAATTTTACTCATACAATCATATAAATTGAATTGAAAATAAAGTTGGTCAAGCCTTATAACGCGTAATGAGAAGATATTTGGTTGACGGAGAGAGTATTCTACTCCCCCGGTCCAACAATAAACTTCCAATTTTGAATAACATGTAAAATTCTATCTTTTTTTAAAATTATTTTATTTACAAAATGATATATATCATAAAAAATACAAAATATATTGTTCAAAACTACATTAAAAAATATAAAAAATAATATGTAACAATAATATTTTATCTTATCAAATGATTGATGAAAACAAACAAACAAACAAACATAATAAGGTATCGAGAAGCCGTACTAGTAATTGAGGAGTTTATTGTTGAACGGAGTTAATATTAAATTTATCTTGTGAGTTATAACTGATACCCAACCTGAATGGGCTCAAGGTGACAGGTCAGAGATGATCGGTCAACATATTAAGTGGCATTCTAGGTGGTGTAAAGACATTTTAGAAACGACCGGTCATGTCTCTCCTGAAGAGTGACCGGTTATATTTGCGGCATGCTCATTTCCTCAGAGGGTCATTATTTGTGTCTCCTCGAAGGACGAACTCATCAGATTGGCACTGTTAGATTCTACGAGATGGAACAAAAGAGCCGCAATGCTAAATGAAGGCGCGCATGGAATCATCCCGCCACTTTGCCCCGCAATCTCCAGGACTTAATGACGGAGCGAGAATCACGCTAAACCGCTAGACAGCATGAATGGGGGCGAGATTTACGCTTATTGAAAGTTAGGCTAGCGGATGGCGGGTCAGGGATTATTTCCTTATGTAAGTGTTGATTGGGGCTGAGATTGCGCCCGAAGAAGGACTTGTTGCCTTAATTAACTTCTTGCACCCAATATAAATAGAGGGTGAGAGGTGAAAGTAGGTCATTCATTCATACATACACATTTTGTACACTCTTGAGATTGAATAAAAAATATAGTTTCGGGCTCAAGAGTTCTTTCTTGGTCTAGGTCATTTCTTGTGTTCTTACTTTTTGGTGCGTTTGACTTGTTTGGTAGAGTCAATTTGACCAGGTTGCATCCGGTCAAACATACCCGAGTAAATTTACACCATCAAATATAACATGTAATTTTTATTTAAATATGGGTTAAAGGTCAATATGAATTTGCTGTAAAAAAAAATTAAAACTGGATAAATATTTTAGGATGGAAGGAATGATGATTTTTTTATGAAAAATTACAAGAGTACTTTTATGTACTACTTCCTCAGTCCAAAAATTTCTTTCTCGGTTTGACTTGAAATGGCGATAAGAAAAATTAGAAAATTGAAAAATATAAAGACTTTCCACGCGTTGTCTTTGATGTGATGATATAAAGTGAATAGTCTGAACAAAAAATGCGGATATAATGACAAATTCATTAAAAGTTTTTTGCCAAAATAAAAAACAAGAAAGAAATATTTAGACGGCCAAAAAAAGAAAGTGAGAAATAATTAATTAGTTGACGGAGGGAGTAATATCTATTAAACAAATAATGTTTTAGAGAAAAATAAAAATTTGTATTTTCTTTTTAATTTCTCATCTATAATTACCACCAGTAATTCTTTTGTGGTCCTTGAGTTTATATTTATTTTATGGATCTTAATACGTGCATGAAATGATTCTATATTAATCTTTACAAAAAGAAAGCAATCACATTATGAATTCATAAAAAATACTATGTATGAGAAGATCTATATTTTTAAATGTACACTTTAAGGCCATAATAATACAATTTATAATCACCACCTAATTTTCAATTTTCAAAGTTTTTCTACTTCCACCTCATTCGCTTGGTTTAATTTTTTTTTATTTTTTTTCTCCATCCACATTTAATATTTTCATTTTCTACACACACACACACATATATATTTGTATGTATGTATGTATATGTATATGCATGTCTATACAAGAATACTCTTAATTTTTTTGTCCGTTTGGATTTAATCTTCTAATTTCTCATGCCTAAGTTTTTTTTGTAAAAGTTTGTTGGACAAATCACGCATATTTGAGATAAATCTACCTCATACTCAATTTTTGTTTAAAAACTAGTATCACACTCGTGCGATGCACGAGTCATTTTTATGTTATTAAATTAAGATCATTTTTAATACTAAAAAAATGAGATGTAATAGAATATAAAAATTATATTATTTTACGGTATAAAATATCGTTGCTTTACAAATTTTGAAAGACTTCTTTGTATAGTACATTATTCGTGCAATTTAGAAAAGATTCGATCATTGATTGTTATATGACTTCTTTGTATACTACATTATTTGTACATCAATTTGTATACTACTTTAGAAATGAATTAATTTTGGAGAATAAATGAAATAAGTTTATAACAGATTCGGTCATTGATTGTTATAAGCATTTATTTGCATATTAATCAACTAATCATTTATTGTCTTATTCATATTTCAAATTAATAAATGCATACTAATCATTTATTGCCTTGTTCATATTTTCAAACTACATTTATTGAATTAAAATCTGGAATTATTTACTTTCTATAATAGTAAATGCAAATAGGAAGTACTTTCCCAAATCTGAATTTTTTTTAAAAATAAAACATTGAAAAATAAATGAAATAACGTTAAAATTATTTAGGTAATTAATTTTTCAGAATAATTTATTTGCATAGATGTATATTCAATATATTTAAATTTTAAAGAAAAATTAATTCTCTTTTAACATGTAAAAAAATATATCTTACATTGTTAATGTTTTTTAGTTCATGTGTGGAGACTACTTTCAAGTTACTAATTCTTAGATAATCTCTTGACCTTGATTGTGATGACACGATACTATAACTTTGAATCAAATTATGACCATTTGACATTAACCTGCATGATTAGAATTTACATAAATTTAAACCACGTAAAATATATTTTAAAAAATTACAAACATCCAAGTTGTAAAACTTTGCTCACAGAATAAAATATTGTAACAGACACTTGCTCTAAAGTATAAAAAACAAACAATTAGAATTAATTCTTTGGGTACGTGTATTTCAAAATTATATTTGAATGAATTTATAAGAATATTATTGTATAGCTTAAGTTTCACCATTTGCAACACCAAAATTGGAAGGTCGAATCCATTGCATTCAAATTGTCAATCAAAACATTGACATGATTTCTCTGTAGCGTACAATTTAATCGAATGTCTCTATACAAAAAAAGTTAAAATTAATATTAATGTTTATCAAAAATAAATAAATAATTAATAAATAAAAAATATATTTTGCTCTGTTTGGATTTAATCTTCTAATTTCTCATGCTTAAGTTTTTTTGTAAAAGTATTTTGGACAAATCAAGCATATTTTAGACCTCATACTCAATTTTTGTTAAAAAAAAGAAAGAACTAAAATGAGAAAATTAAATGTGAATAATTAACAAAAAAAATACAATATGCAGACAAAATTGAAAAATAGTTGATGTTTGGTGAAGGAAAGAAAAAGAAAAAGGGAAATGCTAGGGCTACACCAAAATGTGTACCCCATTTGTACATCACCCCTTTCATAATCATTTATTTATTTTTTTCTTTTTATTTACAAAATGGAGGGGTGGGGACAAATAGGGTAGTGTACACTAGCATTTTCCAAAGAAAAATTGGGTTACTTCTTTTACTCTCTCTCCCTCTTTCAGTCCCGCACCCATTGGGACAGAAAACGCCAGATTCATCCGCGAAAATCATCAGTCTATGGATAGCGGCGGCGGCGGCAGCAAATTGATTAATTCTGTGATTGTGTTGCAACTCTCTTAGTTTTTTCTCTTGAAGAATCGGATCTGCGGCTGCCCTTCCAGGTATCCTCTTCTCTTCTTTGGTTCTTCTTTCTTTTGCCGTTTTTTGTTTTCTTTTTTTTGTTTCGTTTGTTTGTTTTCTTTTGTTTTTGTTTCGTTTTGTTTGTTTTCTTTTTTTTCGTTTTGTTTGTTTTCTTTTTTTTCGTTTTGTTTGTTTTGATGATATTTTTTTATGTTTTTTTTTGTTTCTTTTTTTTTGCTGTTTTGTTTTTCTTTATCATGTTTTCTTTTTCCCTGTTTTTTTGATGATTTTTTTTTCTGTTTTTGTATTTCCATTTTCTTTTAGTGTTTTCTTTTTGCTTTTTTTTGTTTTCTTTTCAATTTTTTTGACATTTTTTGCTGTGTTTTTCAGGTTTTTTTGTTTTTTTGGAAGTTTTATTTTCATTTTGGTCTCTTTTTTGAAAGATCATGTTTTGTTTCTTTTTTATGCTTTTTTTTATGTTATTTTTGAAATTAAATGATGAAGAATATCTTACGAAATCGGTGGCTTTAATTTTGGATAATGCCTACATGTTCCCTTTGGAGAAATGTGTGACAAACTAACGGTGAAAGCAATTCTTGAATTACTCCAGAACGTACGTGAATGTTTTCTCAACGATGTTTGGAGAAGGAAGGAATTTGAAAAACGAGCACAAAGGTATTTAAGTAATTTTATTGTTTTATCTACCTCACATTACCTAATAAATATCCAAACACAATTACACAATTTTTTAACTTTTTACCTTACTCTATCTACCTTACTTTATGTACCTTCAATTACCTCCCTCCAACCAAACACAACCTAAAACAGTAAAACGTCCCAGAGTAATTGTTTAGAACGTAGTACTTTATTGGCCATGCACCAAAACAAACCTCTATGGATTAGTTCTTCATAACTAATGCTGCACTTTTGCTGATTATAATGCTGAAAGTTGTGACTATTTGATTTTTATTTGCAAAATAAGGGAAGATAAGGGTAAGGGTATAAATATCTTTTATTGCCCTCCTCCAATCACAAGCTTGGGCTTTTGATTGGGATGGTTCCTTAACATGGTCTTGGAGCCTTGTTAACCCCTCGAGAGGTCACATGTTCGAATCTCACTGCCACCCAAATTAAAAATATATATTAATGTGCAAGGTTCAAGCAATCAAATATTGTTTAGACATGAGGGTACGTGTTAGGAATATAAATATGTTTTGTGGGCCTCCAATCACGAGCTCGAGCTTTCAATTGAATTAGTTGCTTAACAATAAGAGTAGGAGAATGGCGTTTCTTGATGTCTAATTTGGGCAATCCAGCAAACATATTCTGGCATCAGTGTGCAGTTGGGAAGACATGAGGGGAAAGCTATTTAATTAATGAAGATGGATTGTATGGATGTTTAGGTAGCTTGGCACTGCTTCTCTCTTTATTTTCTGTTTCATACTTCACTTTCCTCCTACCTGTTGGTGATCATGGTGTTTCTTGATGCAGTATTTGTTATGGAGTAACTGTTTTAAGTTTGTCATACTATATTATTGAATCTATTTCTCTGTTATCAAAACTGATATATATCCGGGAGCATGCCCGAAGACTCTCCGTAGCCCGCCAAGGGAAAGACAGATCAGGGGAATAAAGCCCAAGTGTGGTGACATTAATTGGGTTGAAACTTCTCCATTTTCCTGTCTTAGAACCCAACCCAACACCATGGTTGTCCTACACCCACCCTAGGCTGAGCCCACACTCTCCATACCTTCCCTAAACATCCAAAATATTTCCTTTTCAAAATAAAGTTTTCCTACTCCTATTTTAGGCCCTGGCCGAAAATAAGAGTGTGTAAACCACAACCTTTGTTTGTTGTTATTTTCTTTCTTTTAAACCTTTTAATAAACAAATAAAACCTTCTATCCTTTTCTATAAATCCCAGGCCAAATATCCCTCATTATCCCAACACAACATCAACCAAGATATTCCCCATTCTTGTCCCCTTTATGTTCCCCACTGGGGCTGAATAAACAACCACAAAAAGCCAAGGGACATTTGAGTTGTTGTTGATACACCACCTACTAAATCAGTCACCTCATNCAGCTCCAAAGCCAAGACAAAGTCAAACAAAATCAGCCCTTATCAACTCAAGATTGGAAGCTAGTGAATGATAAAGGGATGTAGGAAGGTTCCTTGTATTTGCATTCATTATATTGTGTGTTTTCCCTCCTCTCCCCTCCTTATATATTTCGGCCATTTGGCCCTTGTAATGATCATCTTTGAATATTAAAACTCCTTTTACTCTTTGAGGATTTATAAAATAGTGTGATGCTATTTTAGCCAAATTCCTAATTCTATATCTTAAGAGTGGTTATCTTAAGTGTGAGTTTTAGGTTCTAGATATTTGATTAAGTGTGTCATATCTTAATTAAATTCTAGAATTCAACCCCAAGTTATTCTAGAGGTGAGCTTATCCTTTAGTATTAATTTGGCTCCAAATTAAGATAAGAGTGTGTTTATCTCTTATTCCTTATTTGGAATTTATCCCATCCTTTCTAAACCCATCCTTCATCCCTGATTTTCCACTCTTCTTCATAATATCAAAACTCAAAAAGAACTCCTTCACATTCCCATATTTTCATCCAGCCCATTTCCCCTTCATTATTCCACAATTCCATCTCCAAAAATAACAACTTGATAAGACCCCCGGTTCACCCCTAACAAAAACCCCTTTTCTAGATCTGCCTAAGTGCTAGACCTTCCTTGGTTGCCTAAGTTTTTTACCAAATTAGCCTCACCAGTTCACATCTATCCCCTGATTGATCTCACTTAGGTTCTGCTAGGTGCTAGGCCACTGCATGCTATCGGCCATCCTAGTGCAAAGAACTTTATGACATCTCTATTGTGAAATTTGGTCTATCTTAGTAATTGACATTTTAAAGTATTTTTTGTTTCCTGCTGGTATTGTTTACAACTTGCTTTAGCATATTTGGTTATCAATTTTTACAGGAAAACATCACACTTGCATGGTCTCTAGGGATTGAATATATGTATAACTTGTGTCAAAGCATCTGGAATTGATTATTGACAAGCTAACAGAAGAAAGCAATATGGAAAGAACACCGGCTGCTTCAGCCATGCAGTGGAGCATAGATCTTGAGAAAGGCCTCCGTTCTAAACGCCCTGGTAAAAATTTGATTATTTTAAAACATTGGCCATCATTGTGCGACTTAAACCTTGCCTTCTGTTTACACAAATTGTGGGGACGTTTACTTAATATGTTTTATGATTTCTTAGTTCAACAAAATAAAAAAAGAGAAAACATCTTAACCTTTTTTTCCAAATTCAGAAACAAGAAAATTGTTCTCCAATTTTTTATTTTTATTTATTCTCTTTAAGAAAACTAGAACACACCTTTTTTTTTAAAAATATTTTCTGAATTTGAAGACAGTTTTTTTTAAAGTTAAAGCAATCACTTACGACAGTTGCGACCACAATCAATGACCTCCTACTGCTATCATAAAAAACCCACAGCTACTGTCACAATCGGTGGCCATTGCTATTGTTAGCAATTACTTCTTACCACCACCTTTGCTGACCATCGATCACCTCCGTCATTGATTACCACCGTCATTGTCCACTACTGTCACTGTAGTTGACTGCCGCCAACTGTCCCTTTCATTGACCACCATCGGTGTGGTTCACCACACATCACCGATGACCATGTATATGGTGTTGATTGACCCTGCCTCAATTGAGTAGTTGACCATTCCCTCTGCCAAATGCCATCAGCGTCTGCAGCCGCTGACCTCAGCAAAAAGTCTCAACACCACAAATGTGCTATTGTGGTAAATACGTGTTTGGGATGCATGCTTCCAAATTAGACAACAAAAAAGTACTCCCTTTGTCCTAAAATGTTCTCCCCACCTTTTTTTTGCCATCCTGAATTGTTCTTCTCATCTCCTCTTAAGAAAAGAATCAATTACTACCACTCAATTCCACTTAATTAATAACCATGTCAAGTCAACTTGGGGAAAACATTTTAGGACGAAGAGAGTACCAAAACCAGAGAATGAGAACAGAAAACAAAAAAGCTAAAAACAGAAATAAACAAGCCCACTTGCCCGCTTCGTTGTTCTATTGCAAATTGGGATATAATCATGTTTCGCAACTTGTGGAAACAACCATATAAAGTTATTTCCATTTCTTTTTATAAGGGTTTTCACTGTAATCCCCATTTTCCTGAAAATAATTGGGTTATCGACTTATCGGTGTTCAGGTGAAGCAATACTTCAAATTGGTCAGAAACTTGAATGGTGGGATAGAGACTCTTTTATTACAGAAGCCGAATGCAAATTGTTTGGCTTGATACCTGGAGAGGATAAGCTATTTGCTGATGCAATCTTTCTTAGGCTTGCTCATGCATTCAACTCGGGGGACAAACACACAAGGGCATGCATTGTAAAGATTTTTATGTGGCAGAGAAGGAGATGGAGTGGCCATGACAGAAAAAGTAATCGTGGCATTATATCCAAGGGTAACTTAGAAAGCCATGTCGAGCTTCTAAAAAGAGTGAAGTCTGTATTCTACACTGGGGATTCAGAAGAAAGAGCTATGGTTTTGGCTCTATTGGGCTGCTGGGCAGGTTTTGCCAAAGATAATGCAGATATAAGATACCTTATCCTTTCAAGTTTGGTTTCAAATGATATAATGGAGGTAAGTTCCATTCCTTTATAAAATAAGGTTGTTAAGTGATTTATAAGACTAATACCAAACCTTTATTGGACTAATGAATAACAAAACTTAAGGTCGAACAAAAATTAGACCAAATGTGAATGTAACTAGCTAGGTGTTAAGTACTAATGATCTAAAAATCTATGTCTAGGCATTGGGCCATAGTTGACTGCCTACTGCTCTTTAGAGAACGTGTTTGTCCCTTTGTATTAAATAGACAATAAGTTTGTTCCAGTTCAAGATTGAGAAAGATTACTTCATATGTGTTTTTTAATGTAACGGTGCCATTATACTGCTTTATGCTCTTTCTTCTTCTCTTTTGAGAAACATGAATCATTTGTTCTCATAATGGCTCCATTTGACTAATAAATAGCATTAGAACAATCATTTTACAGGTAAAGGCATCTTTGTTTGCTGCTGGATGCTTTTGCGAATTAGCTGATGATTTTGCTGCTGTGCTATTGGAGATGCTTGAAAATTTGATGTCACGTGAAGCATCAAAGGCTATAAGGTTAGCTGCAGGCCGAGCTTTAGCAAAAATATGGTTCTCAATATTACTTGCACATAAAGCTTACAAGGTTCTGCTTTTCTTTGGTCTTTTCTACAACTTCCATGGAACAGTTATTATGATGAGCGTAGCCTAGTTTCCTGCCAGAAGTTTCTTTATATTATGTCTTCCTGACTTCTTTACATATTTAGTTTCCTTTCGAGAGTGTGATAATTATTTTGTTGTTTCACATTACTGCTTTGCTTTGACATTTGTTGCTTAGTGGTGTAACCACTGTATATATATTGGAGTGGAAGGGGTTCTATTTTTCTTCAAATGTTTTTAAGCAATTACACTATAATTAAGTTAGGCCATTTATGTGCATAGATGTGGTTGGTGGCATTAAATTTATACTATTAACTTTTGTTACAGCACTTAATTCAAAATTATGTATTATCGCAGACAGGTGTAAAGCTGATGTTAGAATCCCGCCAAGAAGAAGAATTTTGCAAAATTGTGCTGATTTCACTTTCAAAAATTGCTTCAAAATGGACCAGCTTGATTCCTGTACAGGTAACCCCCGTCACGGAAAGGATACATTACCAATATTGAAGCTTATGCACCCATAGATGTGAACTTTAAAAGTGAATGAATTATTCCTCATAATTATGCAAGCAATTCATTTTCTGACGGACAGGTAGAATTGCTTATCTCGTTTTTGTCAGAGGAGGTAGCTTCATGCCTGCAAGCTAGTGCATTGAAATGCCTGAACTTTATGTTATGCCATGGAGTTATCATCCCTGAAAGTACTGCAGACAGAGTCCTGAAGTTTCTCGATGTTCTGAATGAGTCCAAGCTATCTCCAAATTTGCAGTGTGTAGCATGTAGTATTTTGTACAAGGTATTATTCCTCCTGAACTACTGAAAACTACTCCCTCCGTCCCACAAAAAATTTTACACTAACTTGATGTCCCCAAAAAATTACGCTTCTACATTTTCCTTTAAATGTAAGGAATATGCTGCCTAAAAAACTTTTCTCCCTTTTAAACAAATTTCACCCACATACTTTTCACTTTTTAACACTTTTCTTGAACTCCGTAAAGTCAAACAGTGAAGTTCTTTGTGGGACGGAGGGAGTCTTTGTATTAAAAAGTTCTTACATTCTCTTGTTTTACAGGTGTTCTTGTATAATCTACACAGAATTCCTCATGCTGAGATATTGATCATTTTCTCCAGATTCTTATCAGTTGTAAGTCTCATTTCAGAATCCCCAGCTGTTATCTCAGAGAGGTTCTTAGCCTTTCATAACTTAGCAGATATTTGTGACAAACTTCTTGAAAAATCGGAAGAGGAATCATCAGGTCATATAGGTTCCACTGTGGCATCAAGAATAATCTCATTTGCCATGGACCGCTTCTCTCTCTTGGTTAAATCGAATAAAGACGTTCTTACTCAGGGAATACTTTCTTTTTACCACAGTGGAGAAATCAAAGCTCAAGATGCTGCGAATTTGCAAAACTTTGTAGATATGCTTTTACAATGATTCTTAACCTGCGAACTGAGGTGGTTACTTCTAGTAGATCACTAGATGGTGACCATAAGAAAATCGACAAATCCAAGATTCTCAGTCACTCTTCCAAGCTGATGTTCAGCTTTCTATCAATATGGATCCGGATTCCTTGGCGGACTCCCAAACACTTCTTTCAAATGAGGTATGTTTCCATTGACAATCTCGTTCATTTTTTTCCTTATGTACATTCTACCCACCACCTTGGGCATATTAAATTTCAAGAGATCCATTAACAAAACAGTGTTGTCATTTGGACTTGGAGTGTGTTTGGTTGAAGTGAAGTGAATGGATCTCTTGAAATTTTGGTTGGAGTTAATATGCTAAATCACTACTTGAATTTCTATAAAATATTTTAAATATCATAAAGAAAATGACTTCTTAAATAGTTTCTTTTAAAACACATGAACTAATATGAAATAGGTGGGGTAATGAAGTCTGGGGTAGAACCAACCCACTCACTCCTGCTCTGAAATGAATGAGAAGCTCGCGCTAATAAATGCGTTGTCTATTTAAATTTTGGAATTGAATGGACCAACACATGAAATCTTGGAATGCTTGCCAATATCTTAGTTCCATTTATATCCTTTTTTAAATTTTGGAATTGAATCAGTAGCTGGGGAAAACTATATATGATGTTTGAATCGGCTGGAAAATATTTCAGGCCATGTGTTGGCTCTGAGCTGTTCTTGCTGGGAGAAGACGGAGAAAAGGTAAACCGTTTATCGGTCTCATCTGGCTTCCTTCTCCATCTAAACTTATGCCTTCAACTCAAAAACATGCCGAGCAAGATCTCAAAGCTGTACTGCGTTCTTCACGCGAGATCATCAAAAACCCCATCCCAGGACGAAGTTGATGACATGATATATCTGAATCAAAAACTATTGGAACACACCAGAGGTAATAATATTCATGATGATGATGATGATGATATTAGAGGAGGGGTTTTCAGTTTTGTGTGCTTTGAGGTTAAGAGTGAGAAATGGCAGCAAGGATTCTCTACCTGTTTGCTTGATACTTCTGCATTTCCTGTTGGTTCTTATGAAATCAAATGGCATAGCTGTTGTATTGACAATGAAGGTTCATATTGGAGCTTCATCCCTGTCCTTGCTAGCAGCTTTGCCTTCTCCATGGTGTAATACTTGTAGTTGCAGATTATTGAAAAATCACCCTAAATAGGACTAAAACATAAAAAAAGTACCAAAATAGGACTTCGATGTTTTTATTCTCGAAATAAGAGTTTGCATTGTGGTAATGTGGAGATAATGTGTCATTGTACACGTGCACATTACTATACTTTGTGATAATGTACATGACCACGTGTCCACATTTGGTAATGTAAATGCATTTTAACTCCTATTTCGGGAATAAAAACTTGGAAGTCTTATTTTGGTATATTTTTAATGTTTTAGTCCTATTTTAGTCCTTTTCCCCGATAATTTTCTCTTGTAACACCTCCCACAATATTTATTTATTGTAAATGCAACTTAAAGAAATTAATTAGCATTAACTCTTGAAAGTGTTACTCTGTTCCCACATCTTGATCTCCTAGCCTTGTAGTAGAGACTAGTAGAAAATGAAATAGGACTTTTTTCAGTTAAATTTAAAAACATTGAATATTAATTAAATAAAAATTGCATTGTGTATTAGAAGGTGATTTTATTAGATTAATTTTGCAAAAGCTTTTAATGCATATTTTTATTGTATTAAAATTAAGTGTAATTTTTTATTTATTGATGATCTACATTCTCTCGGTTTGACAGAAAAAATAAAGTGGGACGAGAGTATTATTTTATCACAAAATATCAACTAGCATCAAAATATAATATTCACTTTATATAGTGGGATGTTACTAAATTCACTCCCTAAATGGGCTATATCCATATATTTTTCGTCAAATTTTACTACATTCATACTATATTTGTGAATTTTGATGCTATCATTATTAAAGTATAGAAATAATAGGAGTTTTGTTTTTATATTTTTTTTGAAGTTCATAAAAAGAATGTTATAAACCAGCTTATGAGTATATAGAAGTATATTATCAACTGATTCATAAGTTAAAAATAACTTATAAACAATTTTAATCAGCTTATAAGAACAAAAAAAATATCAACATAGTTAGAATATCCACACCGTATTATTAGAATTTTGAAAATATTATTCAACGATACTTTTAAATATTAACAACGGGAGTATATAAATGGTTATAAAAAAATTTTTAATAGTAGGTGGTTAACAAAAAAAGGACAAACTTTGTACTCTTTATGTATGTCATGTTCTCTTTAATTTATTCTCATTACTTATAGTATTACTTTTTTTTATTAAAATCAGATTAGATTAAATCAAATCGAAGACGATTTTTTGTTGCCAGTAATTAATTTTGACTTTTTTTAATGGGTAATTAAGCTTTGACATCCTCCTTTGCTCACCCATCTCAAGGCAACCTCAAATTCTCCGCGCGGAAGACCCGCCTGCTAATCTCTCTCTCTCTCTCAAACGACAAAACTCCGGCATTTATCAAATCTCCGGCCACATATTCTTTTACTTTCAGGTTTCCTTCCCTCATCTTCAGCAGGTAAGCGTACAAATTATAACGGACGCATTGTAGTTTTGATTACTGTTTCTTTTTCTTTCGTTGTGATTTCCCGCAATTGATTTCGTGGGTGGCAGCTGAAATTCGACGAATTGAGTGATTTTCTTGCGTTTTTTTCATGATAATTTATCATCTCAAAACACCAGATTTCTTCAATTGAGCGTTATTAATCACATTATGTAACGGAAAATTGAAGATTCCAGAAGTTATTCAATTCCCTTTGGTGGGAATGGGAGAAGCTAAGAACTGAAATAGGATTACTGGTTGCCCGATCTTCTCTAATTTTACAATGCTTGGGGATACATTACCAGATGTACAGATCTCTGCAAAAAAAAATTCTTTCTGATATTCATAAATGATTTGTCTTTATTTTTACCTTTGCAAAGTTTTTTCTTTGTTTGTTATGTGAAAAAGACTGGATCTTTATCTCATTGGATCAAGAATTTCCTCTTCTGGTATTAAATTGCCAAAATGGAACTTTATGGGTTTTTATAAAATTCCACCATTGTTGCAATTTTCCAGATTACCATTATGTGAATTGTAAACTGTATGAGGAGGATACATTACCAGATGTCTAGATCCCTGCATATATTTTTACATATATTCTTACCCTTGCAAAAACAAAAATTCCTTTTTTTTTTCTGCGAAAAAGACTGGATCTTTATCTCATTGGACAAAGAATTTCTTCTTCGGGTACTAAAATAACCAAAATGAAACTTTATGGATTTTTAGCGTTGTTTCAATTTTCCAGATTACCCGTGATGTGAATTGTGAACCGTATGATTTTATTGGTAAAATAGGAAAAGGAAAGATTTCAGTTTCTTGATGGCTACTTTGGGAAATACAGCAAACATATTCTGGCACCAGTGTGCAGTTGGGAAGCCAGAAAGGGAAAAATTACTTAATCAACAGGGATGCATTGTATGGATCACTGGCCTCAGCGGTTCAGGTTGGCATCGATTTTCCATTTTTCTTATGTTTTTTGGTCACGATGTCTCTTATAATTCGAAGTAGGGTTAAGGTTTGCGTACACACACTCTCCCCAGACCCTATTGTCATGTGGGAGTCTGCTCTGTTTCGTATCGTTGATGTCTGTTTTATATTAATTGCTCTTGTTGTCCTACGAAAGAGTCATCGTTCAAAACACATTTTTTTTCTCCCAAAACAAGTTCATGTTATGCAATCTTTAATTGAGTATAATTCAATGTAAACTTTAAAAAAAAAGGTTTATAAACAAGTTAGGTATTTCACATTTAGTCGAACAAACAATTCGAAAATTTAAAATAAGCTCATAATTTTCGCACGTTGTACCTTACCAGAACTAGATTCTTGTAGGCGAAGACGTTTTTTTTGTGACAGAGAAAGTAATCGTTTGTAGTTTCCGTGCTATTCTTTTAATTTTTTGCAGGTAAAAGCACGCTTGCGTGCTCTCTTGGTAGGGAATTACACTCAAGGGGTAAGCTTTCTTATGTTCTTGATGGTGACAATCTTCGGCATGGTCTCAATAAGAACCTCGGGTTCTCTCCAGAAGACCGGACTGAGAATATCCGCCGGGTTGGTAAGTGGGTCTTTGCCGTTACCTTTTGTACACACTTTGATCAGTGGCTTATACACCTATGAGTTTTTATTTATTCATTTATTTTAAATATTAATTCTCAGGGGAAGTTGCAAAGCTATTTGCGGATGCTGGTTTGATTTGCATCGCCAGTTTGATATCTCCTTACAGAAAGGACCGCGATGCATGCCGCACCATGCTGCCAAATTCATTCATCGAGGTTCACAACTCACAAAACTTGATACTTTTGACTAGAGCTGGCAAACATGTCAGTCAAGTCCATTTTTAACCGGTCATTTTGGGTTCAATTAACGAAACCTTTGTTCAAAGTCCAATATATTCCGGTCGGGTCTCGGGCCAATAGTAGGCTGGATCAATTTTTGTCATACCTGCTTTTGGCAGCACCAAAATCCTTGAAGAGAACTACTCCGTATTTGTTTTCTTCTTCCAATTCCTATGGTTCACTTCATATTTTTTTACAGGTTTTTATGAATATGCCGCTTGAATTGTGTGAAGGAAGAGACCCAAAGGGGCTCTACAAGCTTGCCCGCGCCGGGAAAATCAAAGGTTTATTTGTTTACTAACTCTCCCACATTCACATACTTCAAAGAAATACCAAACTAATTGCAATTAGGGGTGCAAACTCTTAACTTTGAATAGTAAAATATACTAGTGTATGATTTTTAATTGTATAAAGTTAGATTCCATAGTTACATAGTACACATATATGAATACTACAACAACAACAAATCCAGTAAAATCCTACAAGCATTAAGGTCTTTTGGGAGGGTCATCCGGTGTGTATGCAGACATTACCCTCACTGGGAAATATAGAAGCTATTTCCAAGAGAGTATTAATAAGAGAGAAAGACTAAAGTAGGACTTAAGCATTGAAAATATACCAAAATAGGACATTCATGTTTTTATTTCCAAAATAGCACTTAAAATGCATTTACATTACCAAAAAGTATAATAATGTGCACACGTACAATGTCACATTACCACAGTGCAATGTCATATTTCGGAAAAAAAAACATGAAAGTCCTATTTTGGTACTTTTCTCTATATTTTAACCCTATTTAGGGTGATTTCTACTATTAATAATCACTCTATTATTTCCACCAACAAAAGTAGCAAATAGTTACTCTACCAATCATCCAGGGGGGTCTAGACAAAAACTTTACCCCCTATGGATAATTGGCAGAGAAACTCCATAGGAATGACCGAATCATATCGGGTGAAATGATACGGAGTACTTGCTGCGATTTCCACATACAAATGAGTTTTATTTCGATCTGGTCTGCAGGTTTTACTGGAATAGATGATCCTTACGAGGCACCGTCAAACTGTGAGGTGATTTTTAATTACTTTTATTATAAATTTTCAACTTAAATAAGCCAACAAGGCCAGAGCTCATTATGGGCATCATCATCAACCTTCAAACTTAGGGTGTGTTTGGTTAGAGGGAAAATGAATCCGTCCTCTCCATTTATCTCAAAGCATTTTATTTTTTACGGGTGACCTAAATATTTCTCTCCTCTCCCCTCCGATTAACAATTGGAGGAGAGCAGAGTATTTTTGGTCTTGCATATTAATTTTTTTTGAACCAAATGAGGGGAGGGGTAACCAAACACACCCTTTGATCAATTAGTACTACTTTTGTAGTTCTGTATATGTATATTCGTTTAATTTGACTTTTTTTCAGTCAAACTACACTCATCAATTAAATGAATAAATACAATATCATTGCATGTTAATAAAAAAATGATTATATACTCCCTCCGTCCGGAAATATTCTTCCCGTGTTGACTTGGCACGCTTATTAAGGAATCATAAAAAAATACCAAATTTCCAAAAATGCACATACTATAAACTTTTAAATCTCATTTTCTTATTAAAAAAGCAATAAAAAAGTAGATTAGTGATAAAATAGAAGGGTATTATTAAAATTTATCCTTAAAAAGTATACTAAAAAAGGAAATGAGAAGAATATTTCCGGACGGGCCAAAAAGGAAAGTGGGAAGAATATTTCCGGACGGAGGGAGTAATATTTATCTTGTAAAGAACTGTCAAAAAATTATTACTTTACTTTAAAAAAATTGCCATTCAGATTGAAATAACTCAAAAGGATGGATCATGTCCTACACCAAAGGAGATGGCTGTTCAAGTGACCTCTTATTTAGAGGGCAGAGGCTTTCTGCAGGGTCTATGATCACAAATGAGAAAAAGGAAAACTGCCATAACTCAAGAACATGAGTTTTTTTTTGTGCTCTTCCTATTCCAAGTTGTAGTGCAATTATGCTCTCTCATGATCTGTTTCTCGCAGGACTTAACCGTTTTATGTAGGGTAAAAACTTATTCCATTTTCATGTTTTTATAACAAAGTTTATAATGTTTTCGTGTCAAATTCGGTGTAACAGTTTAACTTTACGGAGTTTTTGAAAAATACTCCGTATTTAAAAGTAAAGTGTGGGTGATTGATATTTGTTTAGAAGAAAGAAAAGTGTGGATCCACCCCCCCCCCCCCTCCCCGAGTGGGACTTGTGGGAGGCATTCAAACGCCGAGTGGCTTTCCCTCTCTTTTCTTCTCTCCTTCTCTATTTGGTGAAGCTCCCCCGCCTGCATCCTTCTTTCTTTCGACTCCCCATCCTGGGAGTGAAGTCGACTGAAGTAGCTGTCGGCACCGACGAAACCACACAAGATGGCCTAAGGTCCAAACCAAGCAACGGTCTTAAACTTTACCGAAGGTTTTCAAGGACTCCAAGATTTTTTCTTTTATCTCCTATTAACTCGATTAAAGTGTATTATTTATTCATATTTTTTTAACTTAATGTAAGTATATCAACGCTTCTGTTGAAACTTGGATTTGGGTGAATTTTTCCATGAATTTATTCATTGTAGTTTCACGTCTTTTCCTCAAATGAACGCGTAAGTGTAAAACAAATGAAGCCTTAACTATATATATAGCCTTTTTTTTCTTCCTCTTGTTTTTTCTTGACCAGCAATATATGATTTGTAACTTGAAAAAAAATCATGAATTTTCCCATAAAGTAATAAATAACTACTGTGAAGAATAAAAACATGAAATATGACTCTTTTGTGGTTCTAAAATCCATGTTATTTTATGAACCTTAGTATATAAAATGATTATATACATTAGATTTTGTAAGAAATCAAAAAAAATATGTGAGAAAGTTCATATTTCACGTGTAAATTTTAGTACCACAACAGCACAGCTCATAAAATATAGTACGTACTTCATTAGTCCCAAAAAAAAAGTTTGTGGATTATGATGTTTAATAAAAATTATTTCCATTTCAATATAATAAATAATTGGCATAAAATCAACTAAAATTTATATATTTAACGATTACTTTATGAATAATTAAATTGTTTGGGATGAAAGATCTGATAGTGTTAAATTATTGACCGGTATATCATTTTTAGTCGGGCAAAAACGATAAACTAGTCTAAGAAATACACCAAAATATAAACACAGAGATTTTGACGTGGAAACCCAAATCGGGAGAAAACCACGGGCCTTTTTTGGCGATACCTTGCCAACGGGGGATTTTTATTAATATCGGGGGTTGTACATGGTACACAATTTTGGCTAGAAAGCCATTAATGGAAGCTATGGAAGCTTGAAGCTTCTTTGAAGAAATAAACTACAAAAATTCTAGGGAGAGAGGAAGTGAGCAGGGGAGAATGTGATTGGCCTCCCTCTTTAACATTGAGGGGGAGCCCTCCTTTTATAGGAGTAGCTGGAGCATCTACGGAAGAATATTTTATTATTCCTCCACTTTATTAAACATACCCGATTTGACTGTTCTTCGTAAATAATTATGAAATGTGGGCCGAGCCACGTATTATTTCCCATCAAGATCAGTGGTGGATTTTATATTTAAGATGGAAAATCTTTTTTAAAAAAAACTACGGAGTATATGAACATATGTCTTACCTTTGACTTCATTAGCTTCACAAATATTACAGACGCGAAATACTATTTTATATCTATAATATATCAATGACGTCAAAAGTATGATATAAGATGAGATTCTTCAGAGAAAAGAATATTTGATTATATTTTTTTTTCTTTTTTCTCGATAACTTCTATTTGTTTACGTAATTTCTTTAAGTATTTGATAAAATAAAATATTTTTGTCATTCTTGTTTTATAGAACTTTTGACGTAGTTTAATACTCTGTATTTAATTTTTATTTCTTGTTGATTTACCAATTTATAAATAAAATAATTTCAAAAAGTGAAATATTTCTCTTCGAAAACTCCAATTTGTAATCAAAGGAGGGACAGAGAGAGTATTTTTAAAAAAGAAAAGGGTGTATTAAAAAGACAGTATACCCAAGGGGAAAAGGGCAAATACCAATTAGCAAGGAAACAAAGAAAGATTAAAATCCCTAGTCCTTAGTTCCCTATAACCATATTTACATCTCATCTCAAAACCAAATCTCCAACCCCCCCAAAAAAAGAAACAAATAATCAAATCCGAGAGAGAGAGAAGATTTCAAAGAATAAGAACAGAAATGGTGTTAAACAGCCCGCTGGTGGTGGGGGTGGCGACCGCCTCGGCGGAGCTTTGCCAACACATAGCTTGCAACCCGGAGCGGCTCAGCCGCGATCAAGTCCTCTACCTCCTCTTCTCCTTCCCTTGCCGCCAGCTCCGCCGCCTCTGCTCCGCCTTCTGCCTCCCCCCTCCTCCTCTCCCGTCACCGTCCTCCTCCTCCGATTCCGATCTTCTTGATTTGCATCCACACATCCATTGATCTTCACCTGATCCCAGTTTTTATATACATATATATTTGTGTTCTCAGTATTTATTGCTTAGCTATTGTTTGTTGATGGGCTGTTTAATTCCTCAGACTTTGTAAATTGTTTGTGTGATTTATTGAGATTTATTAATTCTACCTGGAAATTGTTTGCATAATTTCATTCCTTATTTCCTTCCATCCATAATTATTTCCTTCCATTAATTATGTTCAAGTTTTTCATGCTTTAAGAACAATTCAAATTTATGGCTCAAAAAAAAATGAATCAAAATATATGTTCAATACACTGAAAGAATAATAACAATAATATGATAGAATCAATCAAAGAATTAAACAGGAACAAATAGAAAATACAAATCTCATATACGAATCAGATCCATTCTTCGCCGTCTCAAATTGAAGCCACCAGATCTGCGATCTGAAACAATCTCAGAAGAAGAAGCTTCTAGAGACTCGTAAGAACGTCCGATCTCTGAAATCAGAAGAGCAATCCGAACGCGAGAGCGGCGAAGGAAGCAACGACGGCCGGAACGAAAGCTGCGGCGTCGGACTCCGGCGCCGGAGCCGGGGCAGGCGAAGAGAAGTCATCGGCCGACGCCGTCAGGACGGCGGAGAGTGCCACCAAGGCGACCACGAGAACGGCGAAAAGAGCTTTGGCATTCATCTTCTTCGTCTGTGGAGGAGATCTTCGAGCGAATTGCAGAAGTCCAGAAGGATTTTTTTCTTTCGTCGGAAGGGAATGTTGAGGATGAGGAGATGAAGAGAAGGGGAAGGAGGGGCAAGCTATATAAAGTACGGGCAGAGACGCCGAAGTGACCGTTACGCCAGCCACGTACGCGCTTTGCTGCCCGGCTGTTGACAGCCTGTGTGTGAAAAGGAAAAGAAAAAGGAAAAGAAAAAGAAAAACATTCCACCGAACATTTACTATTTATCTCTCGAATTAAATTTGGGTTGGTACACGGAATTATCCAAATTAAAATTAAACTTGAACTGAATTTTTATAGAATTGGATCAAATGAAATTGAATTTTCTAACTCTAAAATAATTATTCTAAATATGGGGGAAAATATAGAGAAAATATCAAAAAATGAATCTACATATTATTATCTTCAAAATATGAGTTTGCGATATGAGTATTTGGATATTTTAGAATACTTATTGGTATTATATATTGATATAATTGACATTATATAACATGAAAAATATTAAAGTAAAGTAAAACATAAAAAAATATTCCGTATATCAAAATAAGAGTTTCATGTTTTTATTCTCAAAATAGAAATTAAAATACATATACAATGACAATCGTGTCGATGTATAATACCAAACTAAATAGTAGAATGTCCATATACATTTTTACATTATCATAATGCAAACTTCTATTTTAGAAATATAAACATACACTCCCTATTTTGGTTTTTTCTCTATATTTTTCTTCTATTTAAGTGATTTCTTTATGCATTTTAACTCATATTTTAAAAACAAAAATATGAAACTTGTATTTTAATATATTTTTCATGTTTTACTCTTACTTTAGTATTTTTCCCTTCCAATTCATTTTTTACTACCAATTTCAATTTCATGGATTTTTTTGCTTGCAAACAACATGATTAGGATTGAAATCCCTCATTTCAATTTTATGGTTTAAATTTCGTCTACCAAGCATAACCTTAGTATAATCTAATAACAAAAAATATATAAAGGTATAATTTCCTGAAATAGATTTCCTTGTTTTTTGTTTTAAGTAGTACTACCTCCGTCTCAAAAAGATCTACCCATTTTATTTTGTGTGCATCTCATAAAACACGTCTACCCACATCTAAAATGTCTAAAATTTACCACATTTACTCTTTATTGTGGGTAGAAGTTGTTTTAAAAATTTTTTTACCTTTTGTGATGAAATAAAAGTATTTTATGGGATGCTCAAAAATGAAATGTGTAAATTTTTTTGGAACTGATGGAGCATAATTTAAAAATGAAAAATAAAACAAAACGTATAATGTTAATATAATATCAAAAAAATTGTGAAATATTAATATATAAAGGCATATTATCATAATATAATTGTCTTGTTTTGAAAAAAAGTATCATTCCAATTTCAGTGATAAAGGTTATGTTTATTTGTGTCATAATTTGAATAATAGGCAATATCAATCTTTTAAATTTATGTTATTTACAAATTTATATTAAAATAAAAAATACAATTTACAATATATATTAAAAATTTAAATCAAAAGTTATTCTCTCTCCACCCAGAAATATTATTTTAGTTATTATTCTAGTATTTCAATTACTTTTATTTAATTGTATGTTTTCTTGGATTATTTAATAAAATACGGTAAAATCTTGTTTTGTACGGGTGTGAATTTTTTTATATAAATTTACATTTTTAAATCTAGTATTTTTAGACAAAATTATAAATATACTAATTTTAAAATAGGTTAGAATTATTTAAATGTTGTTTGAAACAAAATAATACCCCATATTTTTAAGACTAGGCAAGTTTTTTAGTGGTTCATTTTATGGACTTTAAATCTTTAATGCATTTGTAGGATTAAAAAAGTGGGCATATTGCAAAAACGGTCCGGTTCTAGTGACACTAGAGAACGGTGCCACTTCGGTGCCACTCCGGTGCCACTGGGTTTTTGGGGCACCTCCGGTGCTGCGTTCGTAAAATTGACGAGAATACAAAACAATAAATAGTAAATTTCATAACTATATGGATTTTCCTAATTAGTTTTGAATTATCAAATATTACCCATGTGGTCATTCTTGTATAGATATTTTTTTAGAAATAGTTCTTTTTTATCTTCTGTCATATTGTTATTAATTTGAGGACTAAAAATATGATTTGATATCAATCATATGTCCAATGACGTATTTTAATGTCGGTCCAACTAAATAACTAATTATGAAATTTACTCAAAAAATATTTTTTTCAACCCCCGAGTATCAAATAATCAATCCATCAAAGTTATTAAAAAAAAAGAAAAATGCTAGGGGTTGTCCCCCACCCCCTTCTTGTCCACATAAATGGGCAAGAGACTAAAAAAATTAAATAAATAAAAATAAAATAAAAATAAATGATAGAAAAAGAGGTAAGGGACAAATGGGATACACTTTTCTTTCTAGCATTGATCTAAAAAAAATGAGGAACACAGAGACGGTTAGATTGGGTGTGGCACAGCTGTAAGCCAACCGTTGCTGACTTGGTATGGTGTGGCTTTTGGTGTGTACTCTAAAACAAAAAACAAAGACCAATTTTCCACGCAATATCCCATCCTTTTCGCTTTTACTTCCTCCGTCCTAAAATTTTCTTTCCGTTGCGTAAAACGAAGAAAAATTTCAAGTTTTTTTAATTTATTTTATTTAAATATTGGTATAGAAACAAAAAATAAAACATACATATTTAAAAACTACATCAAAAGTTCAACAAAACAAGTGGTGACAAAAATATTTTATTTTATCATATATGCCATGAAAAAACACAAATAAATATAAATTCTCGTGAAGTTAGAATAGTGCTCTGGGAAGAAAGTTTTAGGACGGAGGGAGTAATTCTTTATTGGAAAAAAACTTGGTGATAACACTAGAAAATTACCTTGGGATGATGTGATAATTTTTTGTGATGGTGAGGCTTTAGTCCGTGCTTTGAATGAAGGGAGAAGTTTTGATTTTGTTTCACACTATTTAAGGTGGAAAAATCTTTCACAAATGTCAATACGCGATTTTTTTGTAGTGTCATATTTAAGGTGGATTCTTGATGCCTGTTTTGAATGGTCATTTTTCTTTTCATGTGTGTCTTTGGGTTTCATTCGTATAGAAACTCAATAGTGTGGCTCACAACTTGGCTAGAAATGTTTGTGTTGCTAGGTTCGTGCCATGGTAGTCCACCTAATTTTATTTTGTATTTGTTGTCATCTGAGTAAAAGTTTTTTTGTTGCTTAAAAAAATAGAGAAAATTTTTAAAACAATCATTTGTAGATTGTAGTATTTTAATATGTAACTAGTATTGCATTTCACGGTTGGGGTTAGGGTTATAAATTTTTGTTGGCATTGTTAAAAACGTAAATAAATACACTATATAATGCAATATAATATTTTTTCGTTTTTGTAAAACAACATATCATATAAATTATATATAAATTCTGAAAAACTTCTTTGTAAACTACATTAGTGGTACATTTTGTGAAAACATGCTTTGTATTGAATAAGAATCTTCAAGTCACTATGATTTGTTAATCTTGAAACCACAAAATGTAATTGTCTATGACTAAAAATCGATTTCTGTAACAATAATCCGACATGTTTTAATGATTGGTCTTGACTCTTATTTATATATTGTCATTTCATATGAGGCGACCAAACGGAATTATCTTCTTTGAAACTTGAATGGTATTCTTGAATGTGATACTCTCAATGATAGTCTTGGAATAACAACTTCTTGACCATGTGTGTTCTAGTCAATATTGTCCCTTGTATCGAATGATTAGCCAACTGAGTTACTATTCCATTCCACAAACCCATCAAATGATCACTATTACACAACAACATGATGAGAGTGCCTACCTTCAAAATGAGCTCATGGTTTGGTACTCCGGAAGCACGAATCTCATTTAAAAACTCAAGAGTATGTAAGTGAGTAAAAAAAATTCAGATTGGAGTCCAAATTTACGACCTTGTCCAAATTAGGATGCGTTTGTGATTCCCCTTTTGGATCCATTGATGTCATATACTCATTTATAGCATCATCCACACCCAAAGTTGGATATAAAATCGCATGGTCCAGCAGATAGCTTAGATCATGAGCTATTTTACGAAAGTCTAGATAAGTGGAAGTGACTATAGTTCCTATTGGATCTCTTGCAGATTGAAGCAGCGTATCATCAGGCATTCTTACTTCTACATAACCATCATGATCATTTCATGCAACTTCGTCGCCAATACTTGTAATCTAGTTAGCAAAATTAACTAAGTGAATAGAAGGACTATCTTGAGTCATTTATTACAGTCACATATTTTTTGTTAAACGCAAAACTGTACAGTCTTTTCAAATGTAAGAAGAATTAATAGTTGAACTAACAACATATATTAAAAATCTCGTTCATTCAAAGAAAATTTCAATTACACAAAATAGTCGATGACATTAAAATCAACAACATATTTTTTAGAAATATTTTGAAATCAATTTATTTACAAATTGGTATATTAATAAAATATAAAAATTACATATTAAAAAACTACGTCAAAAGTTCTACAAAACAAGAGGTGACAAGAATATTCTATTTTATTAAATACTTAATGAAATTGCGTAAACAAACAAAAGTTATCAAGAAGAGAGAGAAAAAAACGTAATCTATTTAAGGACGGAGGGAGTAGAACTTTTCAATAAGTTTTGTTTGAATCTAGAATTCAATTAAGATACTACACACTTAATCAAATATCAAGAACTTAAAACTCACACTTAAGATAACCACTCTTAAGATATAGGATTAGGAATTTGGCTAAAATAGCATCACACTATTTTAAGAATACTCAAAGAATAAAAGGGGTTTTAATATTCAAAAAAATATATCTTACAATGGCTATATGGCCTGATTATATATAGGCAGGGGAAGGGGGAAGAAATACACAATACATTGAATGTAGACATAAGGAAACTTCTTAGCAACATCCTCTATCAAAGCTTTGAAATATCAGCTATGTTTTTAGGTCCTTTTATTGGAATAAAATCAGAGAATTTTCATCCCTTTTATTCAGAACCAAAGAGGTCTATGTGTTACAAATAATTTGGAACGGAGAGAGTACAATTAATATGAGACTTTTCAATAAATTTGGTTGGGCAGTTTTTATTTTGCATTGTCGACACTTTAAACACATAGACCGCGCATTGGACCGGAATGCGGATCTTGGCCCGTATTCATAGAAGAGTCTAGAAGGACTCTCTTCCAGTGGCATTTCAGTAAATTACCCGTCGACGGAAACACCATAAATCTCCGCGAAGATCTCAGCAATTTCTTCATTCCTTCACCGTCTAAAACCCTAATTTCCCCATTCGCTTCTGCAAATCTTCTTCGTTCTTTCTTCTCCTTTTTCATTGTTCGTCGCCCTTCTGAGTAGCCCTATGGATTCAAGTATCGCTTGTTGTTTCATCAGGCTTAGTTAGGAGGCGCATAACAAAAAATCTTCTGGCCAAATTTCATTATTTGGGTCTTCAGATCCGGGCCCTCGGCGAGGATCTTCGCTCATATCCATCGATTTTCCTCCGATTCGCCCTGGATATCCCTTCGATTTCAGTCGTTCTTCATTTCCGTTGCTTGAATTTCATCTTTTTTTCGAATCGGTTTGATTTTTCTTTCGATGTGTGGATTTTGCCTTAGAATAACTCTACGGAGGAGCCCAATAAGCGGACATCCGTAGGGTTCAGACAGGGGCGTAGAGCAAGATGAACGATGGTTGTTCTTGTTCTAGAACTCGAACTTGTTAATGGGGTGGGAAAAATCTGAGATTTTTTCGTTTCTCAGTCCATTGATTCATACAAAATTTGGACTTGTTTCTTGAAATGTTTGAAAGGCAGATGATGAATGTTTATATTTTTGAGCTGATTCATCCATGAGGCTTCAAAATTCGAGCTTTTTAAAACTGATGCCCTTTGATATATAGTTTTCTTTTTTATTCTGAAAAAAAGAATCAATCTGTGAACAATTGAATTCTTGTTGCTGGTTAAGAGGCATTTTGAGATTTCTATCCATGAATTTGTGCCATCCTTGAGCCAGCAAAATTAAAATTATCAATTTCCTGACTAAGCTTGGCTTATATTGCAATGGCCATGCTTTTGTTGAAATCTGAGACATTTTTAGATATTTTAAATCATTTTTCTTTCTATGTTTTTTTACATTGCATTACCTCTGTTCCTAAATGAATTTTCTTATTCCAGTTTGTGTCAGATTTTATTCATTATATTTATCTATTTTAACAATATTGTGGGAATGATCTCACAAATACATGTCATCTCTAGTCCTTTTAATCATTTAAAATAGTTCACTATTACAATATATAGTTCAAAATGGGCCAATTATATAGTGTCTAGTAAAATATTGTTTAAATGAAAATTTAAAGAGGGAGCATTATTGAGAAGAAAATTTAAAGATAGAGATGGAGCATTATTGAGGAGCTCCGATGGCTTGCACCAATGTATTATAACTGTTAAACGGGCTTGAAGCACCAATATAAACATGAAAACTCTTGGAGCAACAATGACATTTTATCTTTAGTCAAATGTTTTGTGACACATTGGAATGGAAAACAAGAGAAACATATGACACACTGAGAACAAATAATTCAACTTCATCAATAAATAAATAAAATCAACCTTAGAGCTTTTATATCAACCTTACAATATAAGTCTTGCATATAAACACATTCTTGAAATGAAAAAGTATAACCTAGGGTTTATTATGTACACATAACAGGAGACATGAGAGGTATTGTAACAATAGGGTGGGTTCTTTTGATATTCATGTCATAAAATGATGTCGAACCATTTTGGGATGATACGATGCTCTATTCGGTCTGAAGTATTGGTCCTGCCCTTCTTAATCTACCTTACAAACCCAACTCTCTCCAAATCTTTCGGGATTTGCAGGCTGAAAGCGAGAGTTAGGTTCGCAGGCTGGATCAAGAGGGGTACAATTATAGTGTCAAAAAGAACAAGAGTAGTTCTTAATGCATGGAGTGAAGTGCTTCATGATGGCCTCCAAATGTGAGGTGAGCTCCTGTAATTGCAGCCCCATTCATCTTCCCTGCATCCCTTACCATCTGCTTCATCCTCTAAAAGTATGTACAATTTGTTCTTTTAATCATATCATTAAACGAAAATTAGACTTTTCTTAATCTTAAGTATCACACATAAATGGCATGTTTGAGAATATCGTGAAACATTAGCGTTAGCATTTTGGATAAAATTTTAACGATACATATTAATTTGAAAACGCTAATGCTAAACGCTATCTGTAGACAACTTTTTCAAAATGTTAAAACTAATCTCTAACGCTGTTCTCAAACAAGTCCAAAGAAGGTTACATTCATCAATGTATCACGAAAATTACAAAATTCATGTAATAGACAATTTGTAATAAAAAAGTACAAAGAGTTTGGTAGATAAATTATTTAGAAATGTTCTTTTCACCTGGTTTTGATTTGATTGGAATACGTTCTGGTCTGGTTTGGTCTGAATATAGTTATATTTAAAATTATTTCTGATCTAATCTGATTGCAATAAAAATAAGTACTCCCTCCGTCCTAAAACTTTCTCCCCGTTGTGCAAAACGAAGAAATATCCCAAGTTTTTTCAATCTATTTTATTTAAATATTGGTATAGAAATAAAAAATACTGTAAAACATACATATTTAAAAACTACATCAAAAGTTCAACAAAACAAGTGGTGACAAGAATATTTTATTTTATCATATAGGCCATGAAAAAACACAAATAAATATAAATTTTCGTGAAGTTGGAATAGTGCTTTGGGAAGAAAGTTTTAGGACGGAGGAAGTAATAAAAAAAAATTTTCGTCTACAAATAAACTTTCTGTTGCGCGTTACGATGTTTGACTGAAGTTATTTTCAGATCATTTTATATGAAAAATATTGTAAAATTTAAAATAAAATTACATATTAAAAAATTACTCCCTCTGTCCCATGAAACATTTCTCCTTTCTTTTTTTATCCGTGCTACAAAACATTTCTCATTTCTATTAAAAATTTACTTTTATCCCTTATTTTTTCATAACCTAACTATCACATCATACCCTTTTACTAATAATCTATCCATCAAATCATACCTTTACACATCATATCAAAAGACATTTTTGGAAATTCAATAGCAAAATACACTTTCCTTTAATCCCTCTTAAAAAAGCAAAAGTCCCATGTTTCATTGGACGGAGAGAGTATATCAAAAGATTTACAAAACTAGATGTGACATGATTATATTATTTTATCAAAGAGTGACAAAAATAGGATGCATGTGAATAATGAAAGAAATGTTTATTTGGGAAGAACATAGCCTTACAGCCCTTACTCCCTATATCTAAAAAATTACTACAATTTGAGCCATAGTGTTGAGATTTGTAACGATTGCAACGAATTTTAGCTTAGATCAATTTCAGATGTTCAGATTAATATTCATGAAAGAAATTTGAAGGGTAAAATGGGGAAATAAAATTACACACCTTCTCATCTCCACAGATATCAAACCGGAGCTTGTGAATCTGCCGGTGGTGCTCCTCCCGTCTTCCGATGAAGAGAATGCACACGGTTGACACCACCGCCACTACCCCAAACCCAAAAATTGCTCCGATCCCGGCCATCCCCCAGTTCCACACATTCCGGCCGCCCGTTTCTCGATCGCCACCCTCGGTACCCCTGCCGCGGTAATCCTCCGCCTGTCCTGCCGGCGATGAACAACTGTCGGCGTCCTCACCCTGATCCGCTTTGTAAAGCTCCCCGAGGTCGATCTGCGGCACGACGGCGCTATTGCCTGACTTGGGATGGTCCAATTTCATGTCCGCCGACGGGAACTCAGATTCCTTCTTTTTCTTGAAGAAAACCTGCGACGCTCTTTCCGGCTCTTTACCCGTTTCTGCTCCGCGGTTCCCGGCTTCGACCTGAGCTGGAACCGAAAGGGGCAAGGGGCTCGCCGTGTCCCTGTTCTGATGGTCGCCGGCGGCGACCTGAACTTGAACCGGAGGTGGCAGAGCCCCTTCCGTTTCTCTGCTTGTAATTTCGACAAATTGGCCGGAGGAATGTCCCGGCGGAGGGCAGACGAAGTAGTTCATATCAAACACACTGTCTCCCCCGCCAGCGCCGCCGAGGGTGTTTCCTGAAAACAGTCTCTTCCCACCATCGCCATCACCGACGAGAAGAACCCCATCTTCCGGCAAGACTTCCCACTCATCAAGATCCATTTTTTCCCGCTTTCTTGATCTCGATCGTTCGAGAAATTGAATGGATCCGAAGAAGGGGGGGGGGACTTTTCCTTGTTCTTGGGACTTGGAGGATGGAGAATTGAAAAAGAAGAATGTTGACACGCAATCTGAGTGGAGCTCAGAACTTATCTATGAAGAAGATGATGATGACATGTGGGGAGTGGATGGAGCGGTTGGGGCCCTCCCTTCGGTTGGTCTTCCAGATATTTCTCTGTGTTTTGGTTAATCTTTATTTATTGGCACAGTGCATTTTGGACCCATATATTGGCATAATCTTGGAGAAAGAGTATGGAATAAGGGTCTTCAAGAAGAAGATATGAATCCCATATTATACTCTCTTCATACCATTTAAACATTTGCCGAAAAGAAGAACATGAACATAATTTATGGACGGAGGGAGTATGTATTCAAAAAGCTATTTTAAATACGGAGCACATAAAATTTTTTCAAAAGAAGTGATCAAAAAGTTATAATTCATACGGAATACTCCGTATTATTTTATTAAATATGTAATGAAAATAGATAATAAAATGTAGTCTAAGTTTGGCCTTATAAATAATTTTATACTTCTTCCGTCTAACAATAAACTTACCGGTTACTATTACGACCTCTTGATAACTTATGTTCATTTGCATATTTTTATCAATCATTTAATAAGATAAAATATTCTAATCGCATCTTATTTTATAGAATTTTTTATATGATTTTTAAAAATGTGATTTTTATTTTTTTATGATATACTAATTTATAAACAAAGTAATTTTAAAAAAAGATGTGATTTTGCATGTTGTTCAGAATAGAAAATTTATTGTTGGACTAGTTAGACATAAATTACTTAGTTTTTCATATTATTAAAAGATTATGAAAGCACACGATTTTGATCTTGTAAAAAATACTACAATATAAAAAAAGAAATCAAAATACAAAAAGTTAAATATTACTCCCTCCGTCCTCCACAGATCTTCTCATTAGCACTTTTTATTTGTCCCACATAGATCAATTCTTCTTAAAAACCGCAAAAAGTCAAAACGAGAAGATCTTAAGGGGACGGAGGAAGTGTGTGTGTGTGTGTGTGTATATGGTCAAATTAACTTACCAAATGAATAATAAATCAAGAGAGGCCATTTACCATTGTACTATCACATGTTTTAGCACATTCTAGGTTCAAAATTGTCTCCACAATCAAGCAAACCCTCTCCCACATTATGCATATGCTTAGGACAAAAACTTGTAGGAAAGTGAAGACAAAGGAGAGATCACTCTTGAGTAAATATTACTCCATCTTTTAGGGTCTGTTTTAGAATAGAATTAGAGATTAATGTTAGTGTTTTGAAAAAACTATCTACAGCCAGCATATAGCGTCAGCGTTTTCAAATTAATCTGCACCATTAAAATTTTATCCAAAATGCTACCACTAATCTCTAAAGCTATTCTCAAACAGGTCCTTAAAGTTGTCTCATTTCAGATGATGCATTTTGTTCTCCTCTTTATGTGATGTACGAAAATCACATATCATAAGGTTATAAATGCCTTAATTTTTTTATCATTACAATGATTAGGGTGTTAATATTTTAATCATTTCTTTCCCATCATTTTGTTATCTTAATCCATAGTTTTTCTAATTTTTGAAAAGTACTTTTATCATATATCTCAGATCCAAGATCAGAAATTTTCACATAAATAAATTGATAGATTAAAAAAATGAATGCATATTTATCTACAAGTAATTCTTTATTATTGACGGCATCCATGGCTACCGAGTTAATATTGTACATATTGATCTCCAAATATATAAAATGCACACCCTTCTTAGCATAGTACCACCAAAAAAACTTGGATTTGATTTCCGCGTAGACATCTATATATTCATATCATATATCACATTTTATCGGATTAACATATTCTTGAATATCAATGGATCAATAATTTATCATTTGCATTATTTTTATATTTTCTGAATATTAGGTCAAGGAAACCCAATACAACTGTGTAACATGTTAGAGCACAACCCATGGTCAAAATCATATCACCACAATCAAGGAATTCCTCTCCCAAACTGGAAGGAGATTGAAGATGGAGAAGAGCTAATTCTTGAGTGAACACTTCTTGATGTCTTTTAGGTTGTCTCAATTTTATATTTAATGTACAAGAATCAAATGTCATTAGTTGTAAAATGACACTACTAGTCTTGTATGAACCACTCTGTATGCCTTCATTTTGAGCATTATGTGCAAATAAGGAAAATTGGTACCAATATGATACATTCCTCAAAAGTTTTGATACCAAAACCAATTTTTTTTTGCTAAACCGAATGTCTTTTTGTACCAAAAGGGTCGGTTTAACCGTTCAAAACACATCTAGTGCAGCACCATGTGTTACATAGGGGGTGTTTCTCTGTGTTGGTACTTATTAACTTATTGTTGATAAACAATTTTTAACTTATAAGCTGCTTATAAGTTTAATATTTTTTCGTACAAGTAAAATGACTTAAAAGATAAATAAGTCATTTGTGAATACTCATAAATGGTGGGGGTAGTTTTGTAAATAATCTGATCAGAACGAAAAAATAAAAAATTGACTTAAAAATAAGGTATATAAGGCTTGCTTACTTTTCCCGGCTTATAAACAACTTATAAGTCGGCTTATAAGCACACAAAAATATGTCATTAGTTGATTTATAAATTAAAGCTTATAAGCACAGAGAAACAACTACATTGTCTATTTATTGCATCTACAACAAGTAACAAGCTCCCAATTCTTAACTACTCCCAAATGAGTTTTTTTCTTCAGCATCTTTAATGCCTAACTTTGAAGCTCCATTTTCCTGCTTATAAGTGCACACTTCATCCGCTAACCGCAGATATCGAAATTTTACCAACGCCAACGAAGCGAACACTAATTTATGTATTGATTTAGATGAATGGGAAGAAAAAGTACTCTGCATAGAAGAGATTCCATATGAACCGGTAGTAGCCAAAAATTGCTTCCTGCAAAATAATGCATTACAAAACCATGATACCTCTTTAGAACTTGGATATCTTCATAACATCATATAAAGTACCCTACAAACTATGTTGCAAACGAGTGAGATCCTCACCTTAGTATAATTTGCTTTTTCCAAAGACCGCGCCTGAAAACAAACGGGCAAATAATTTTCAAAGACCAACCAACGCTAAAAATCAATTGTAAAAATCATAGCAATAAAGTTTAAATCCGGGTGATGGGTATATCCGGACCAGCCTAAATATGTATAGTGCATTAGGCCCAATACACCCTGTTCATTCCAAAATTGATATGTATTCAGGCCCAGACCACTGAAGCTCAACACTTCAAATGTTTTTCGAGTTTAATAGATTTCATTTATAGGAATAATTATTTTCAGAAACAAAACCAAGAAACCTTTTCATTAACAACACTCATTAAACAGTGAAAAGGTAAAAATACCTGCAAAACTAAACATAGTGCCAGTATGATATGTATTGGTATCATGAACCTGCTGTTAAAAGCCTAGAAAGAGTTCAAAAATAAGAAAATCAAGTCACTAGCCAAAGATAAAGCTAAACTCTTAAATATAGTGACAGGAATTTTTCTAAAAAAACACTAATTACATAAATATAAAAGTTGTAGACTCACTTATTAGGATACAAAACTGAGCCCTTAGCCCGAAAAGGCTAGCTCATGTAGGACACGTTACAAAACAATTATAGACACACAGATTAAACTCACATGAGGCATGTAAATTGCAGTCAATACAGCACCAAAGTAATTAACCAACAAAAGCCCAGAGCCCAAAAGTGCTACGTTTCTCACACCAAGATTTGTAGCAAAAGTTGAAATTTGAAACCTGGAAAAGGTATTAGAAATAAATAAATCAACCAATATATACTTCACTGCTAATTCCTAGGTGCGTGGAAGACACAATTTATTTGACTGAGATATTTATGGACAGAAATAGAAACAAAGCATATCAGATCCATGTGCATTAGATTTCATGTGAGATTGCCTTGAGGTGAGATAATAAGATGATAGTGAGAAATAATTTTTCTTTCAAATATAATGCATATAAGCATAAGTTTAATACTTCTAATACAAGTCACTAGAAGCAATACTTAATGCTCCATCTGTTCCAAATAAGAAGTTTTGCTTGATAAAAAGGAGCTGAAGTTAGGTGATTAGACATGACATGAGGCATTTGCATCTGACTAGGAGAGCTAGAAGATCAACGATTAAGGTTGTAGGGCAGGGGTAGCCAGGTATCCTTTTCTTGGGAATGCGGGCTCTAGGCGGTGGCTAGGTTTTGCAGGGTGTATATCTTACTTTTTATTTTGCAATTAGATCTGCATCTTTTTTTCCCAGACCCTACTCTTGTGGGACCCAACTTGGTTGTTATTGTTGTATCTGCTTCATTTTCTGTTTTACTTGTGTGATCTTTATGTTCCTACGAAACTGTGTCAATCTGTTTTCTTTGCCCTTTGGGTAACACTTGTGTACATCTACCCCTAGACCACACTTGTGGGATTACTCTGGATTGTTATTGATGTAAACAAAAAATACTCAATACATATGATTTATGACTATGCTGTACCCTGCCAAAAATTAAATGTTGTACATTTTACCTTGGTCAAGCATGACTGCTAAAACTGTGGAGAAAATACTTTCTTTCACCAAAAATTAAGTCTTACTCCGTATTTTAAATGGAGTATTTAAAATAACACTTTTTCCAAATAATATTACCAACTTATTGTGAAGCAATCTTGCACATATACTTTTGAGATCTAGAGATAAGTAACTAAAGAACTTACTTTTGATCGCCTTCTACGTCTGGAAGATCCTTAGTTATGGCAATAACCAAAGCAAATAAGGTGAAAAAAGCTGTAATGAAAGCCACAGGTGAACTGCATGGAGCATTAACATAGGATGAGATAAAAAATAGGGCAAGTGCACAAACAAAGTTTGTTTAGTTAAAACCTTATGGTTTACAACATCAGTAGTTGCAACTGACAGACCTCTATTATAGCATTTTCAACATTCTACTTTGTACTGAATAGGATACAATGATACGGGAAATTTAATGTAGATCTAAAATGCAAGAAAAAGGACCAGGTCATAGCCAGTAATTCTTCATTATGAAGTTCAAGGAGCCTATCTTTTTCTGTAGAAAAGCATTTGTTGGAAACATGAGCACTCAAGGAGAGAAATGTTGGTTTTCTCTTTTTTATATA